TGAAATTGATCGCGCGAGTTTATCTCATCTAGTTCAAGCGGCTCGCTGGATTTTATCGCGTCTCGCTTGTTGTTCTTCTATTTTCTCGCCGACGGATCCTCTCTCTCTCTCTCTCTCTCTCTTGCTATCTAATATCGTTGATAGATTTTCTTTAATATTTCACTAATGGTTCGTTAACGGACCCGGGAGTGGGGAAAATGTTTTATCATCCACGCTCCTCGGGGTTAAAAGTTTTCCAACTTCTCCAGCCTGGACCAATTCCCTCCCGCCTGTCTGCCTGCCGTTGCAGCAGCCGTCCGGGTGATCCATGATAAGTCCACTCTCGCATTAACCACCTCCATTCCCAACCCCATCTATCCCTCGCTCGATCCACTTTACTCTTGCTGGCAGTAGCAGGAGTAATTTCAACCGCTACATCAACCTACGTGCTAAGCCACCCCCCAATAAAAATCTTACAGGATCTCTCCGAGCCTCGTTTCGAATCTTAATATGTTTCTCTTTTCCCCTTGTTTCTTCCTTTTCACTTTCCCTCCCCCCTCTCTCTCATTCTAAATAACCATTTGCTCGCGATTAGTTCGGCTATACGAATAATAGCGGACGGACGATTTGATTTTGTCTACTAGAATTACGTTCCCTTTATATCTCTGTGAAAAAGAGAGAAAGAGAGTATCGAATAACGTTCGCTGCTCCGTCTGACGCATAGATCGGGTAATCCCCTCGAGAATCGCCAAATGATCCTCGCCGTATCCACATTCGATTTCCTTCCTTCCCCGCTCCTCGTTTCTTATATTTACCGATAATCTCGACGTCTTGATCGAGCGGCGCTCGTAAAATTCCACCATCGTCCGTGAGTTAAAACCACCCCCCGCGGAAGAGGCCGGTTCTCGTCGTCATTTATTTCCGACTTGCCGGCACCAACTAGGTTTAAAGTATTCCGATGGAAAACCCATGGCGATATTAGTTACCGCGGCTCGTATTCAATCACCGTGTCCTAGTTCCGCTGAGAAGCTGAGAATTTTCCGATTGCGCAATGTAAAATTTGGCCGGAATCTAGAGAGTCAGAAATAATCCGACTTTACGTAAAAATATATTCTACATTCTCTCACTCTCTCTCTCTCTCTTCGAAAGATTTACCGAATAGCTCATTGAGGATACAGTCGCATATATAACTGCGTAAACGCATATTATAAATAGCGTATCATAATATTATGAATAAAATTGTAATTTCATACGATGATATCATAAATATCATATCATGTTGGGGATATCTCTTCGTTTATTTGGAGTAGAAAAATTATGAAAACAAAACATTGGTTTGCGTTCTCTGTTTCTACCGTTTCTCTTCCTAAACAATCCTATTATTCGAGTGTCATTTGTCGTCGCCTCGAATTGGTCGCGTGCAACGTCGGGTTTGATTCTCATCCACGATGCAACGCGATGCATTATCGATCTGAATAATTCCGTGGCTCGCGAGTAGCAAGCCACTTAGACATTAAGGGATCGTTATCTCGATGGAAGATAATAATCGCGCCTACGCTAATCTAGGTGAGCTATTCATGAAACATTATCCTGCCTAATCGATCCTTTCACGGTTGTGTAATCCATTTATAACGTGCGCGAGCATCCTCCAGTTCGACGCAGCATTTACGTGAATAAGCCCGCTCTCGCGTCGTCGTGGCCGCGTCGCGATCTAATTACTCCCAGGCGAAAAGAATTGCGTGTTTTTTCCGTTGAAAAAGTATTCAAAGGAATATGACATTAATGAAAAAGACACGGATGTTAATTTCACACTGCGGCACGACGCCGAGGTTGCACGCCGAGGTCACGTCGCAGTATTCAAACGGCGAGAGCTCAAAGATGCCGCGGGGCGGTAGGTGGTGGTGGGAGGAATGCTGGAAAAGCCACAAAGCTCGGGATAACTTCCGGGACGAATTTTCCTGCGAGTTTACCCGCCGGGTTTTTCGTTGAAGGCCGGGTTTCAAAGGCGATAAATCGCGCCCCCTGGCTGCATCTGGCGTTCATCGGCCGATCGTTCATCGATTTCATCCCCGTCTGAACCAGAAACGACCCGCTATTATTAATCGCTCATCGTTCCACTCCACCCCCGCCCGTCGTCTGATAAATCGTATTCTCATTTCTTTCGTTCGAACGCGTCTCTTTAATGAGCTTCATTCTCGACGGAGCCACGAGAAGCTACGCTGGTGGTTTTCAAAAGCATCCGCGCGCTCTTAATTACTTAATTTGTATCTGTCATTTTATATACGTTCAATCACGTCGAAATTACCAACGTCGGTAGCCGCGTCAAGGAAAAATCAAACGAAATTGAATTCGTCGGCGCGGAAAGCGAACTCGCCGAGCTTCGCCGAGCTTCGCCGGCGAGATATGGGGGATAAGAAGCTTTTAAAGGGTAACACGAGAATACACACAGAGTGAAAGCCACAGTAAACAAACTTATATCCCCACCGTAAAAGAGATATCCTCGGGGGCGAGGGTTTTGGCAAAAGGAGGGGTTGGGTAATGGTGGAGAATGCTTTCAATATGCTTTACGTTAATAGCATCCCCGAGAGAAATATTCGAAATATCCAATTTTGATGCTTTGCCGGGAGGAGAAAAAACATACACGCGTCTAAACGCACGGTGACTACCCGTGACTGGCGCTGTCGCACCTCGCTAATTAGCGCCACGTCCGAAACATAACCAATTGCACAACAATGAAATATGTAGCCAGCGGAGAGGCAACGAAACGAGCCAACGAATGCGCTCGTCGCGCGTTTGTCTTCGGCGATTTCAGTTTCGGTCGAAACAACCGATGGGAAATCAGTGTTGATTCGTCCAAACTCGCCACGTGCATTAGGAACACCTCGAGATACTTTCGTGTTAATTGTTATCGCAATATATTCGGGCTTGTCGCGAATTATTGTGCCACGAAAGGCGATCTCTCGTAATGGCGCGACGCCAATTCTCGGCCAAAGGAGGAACGCGGGATGATCCGCCAGTTTATCGGGGATTTAGCGAGGGTGAAATGGTGCAAAATTCGAAGTGCGTAATCCTATATAGGGGATGCGGGAGAGCCAACGAGACGAGGGAGGGAAGCCCGCGACGACAGATCCGGGCGCGAAGTGTGTCACGAGTCACACAGGAATTTGCGCCGGAGGAAACTCAATATCGCTGCCGATTTCCCGGAAAAGTCCCGGGAATTATCCCGGGAGAGGCACGGGGAAAGTTTTCACTGCGATTCCCCTATAAAAAACATCAGCCACAAAGAGAGGACGACCTGTCGTCCGCGTCTTCTCGCCGGGGAAATGTTCGGGGCATGACTGGTTTTCCGTTTTTTCCCTCCCCCCCGTTTTTTGCGCGAGAAGCGAATCCGCTCGTCAACGCTGCCGCGCACTTCGGGGGAGAGAAGTCGGCTGAATAAATAAATAAATAGCCCAGACAAAGTGAAACTAAATAAATAAATGAGTAAACGAGATGGATAAATTTTGCAGCCCCGAGAAGACCTCACGTTCTGGAACCTTCTTTCTGTAAATCTCGTCAAAAATACAAGATACGTTAAACACGGACTGAGTATGTACTCAGACAGCGCAAACTTCCAAAAGACGTCTTAAAGACGTCTAAAAGACGCCCTACTTTTTTCTTTAGACATCTTGTTGACGTCTTCTAGAAGTTTGACTGCTTGGATCAAGTCAACGGCAAAAATCCCAACACGCCCGTTTCCAACGGGAGAATTTGTTTTTCACTCATTCGACACGGTAAAAAATGTTGTATTAAATTTAACATCATTTCGCATGTCCCAAACGGGGACTATTCAAATTTTTGTGCCGATCCAACACAAAACGAAAGGTAACACAAATATCATGTCAAAAATTAACACAAAATTAATGCGTTTAATCGCCACTGAATATAAAATGTGTCATTTTAATATTAACTTCAATTGATTGATTTTAACACACGGGTATGTTAGAAATTTACCATGAAAATGTTAACAACGGCCGATTTTAAGTACAAAATATTTTTTACTGTGTATGTAAATACAAACTTTTGAATGTAAATAAATTTTTCCGCTGGGTATCCGGCGCGAAGTTTGTCGAGGTGAAAAGATCTTTTCGTTGATTGTACGTGGCTTGTGCACCTGTCACACGTGTACATAATGACCACGTAATAACGACAAAATTAACACACCATATCATTCGACACACCGCCCCTACATTTGTATACGCGGCCACGTAGAATACTTTTGTTCTCTTTCATTGGGCTGATTTCACACACATACACAGACGCGCACTATGCGGTAGCAGAAAAGTGTCCGGTGCAAGTGGTGTGAGTCGGTGTGCGGTCAGACGCGAATACGGAGCACGGAATTGGCCTAAGAGAGGCGCGCAGCTATAATTCATGAGGGCAATCGATAGTAAAGCCTTATCCACGCGAGAACGCGGGGACTGTCGCGTTTATCGGCCGCGTTTAAAGCCTGCCCAGATGAATCTACGTACACGGAGAAATCAATCACCCGCGCGTCCGATAGCGTTTTCGTGTCGCGCGATCCTGATTGGAATTGCCGTACAATTGAAGGCTGTTTTCTCGACGAGCCCGTAAATTAAATGCGAAGTAAAATCCCGTTGTTTACCTTGTCGCCTCGAAGCTTTGTACGCGTGAGCGGTCCGTCGTTCTCGATCGTTTCAATTAAAACCGTCTCGGTATGACATTCCTTTATTAAAATTCGATATTAAATGTTGTACCTCCGATTCGTTTGAAGAATCCAACGATCGATCCGTTGGGGGATCGAGACATTCGACGCTCGAATTACTCAACAAAGAGCCTTTCGAATGAACGTTTTCACGTCGTTCTTGTTGCGCGGGAGAATGATTTAAAATTGACAGCGGCTAATTACCGGCGTTCCTCCTCGTCGTTCCTGTCTGACCGCGAGCCGACTCTCGACTTATCTCGATCCAAAACATGTACCGACATCGTTGAAGCAGCAAGGCGCGATTTTCTGATTTCAGCGGAGGCAGGAATTGCGGCGGCGGCCGAGATGAAGCAGCCGGAAGAAAGAACGGAGGAGGAGAAAATGGCGTTGTTGGGCAGACCGCGGCTGGGCGAGGTGTCGCGCGCTCAGATCAGGATCAAGGAGTCGAAGGAGTTCAAGAACACCGTGGACAAGCTCGTGCAACGGGCGAACGCCTCTATTATACTCGGTGAGCACCTGCCTAACGCGCGAACTGCCCTCCGAATAATCATCGTAAGATTCCCATTTTCGAAATCCATTTGTCACCGGGCGGCATAAATGGTCTAAAGGATGTCTAAAGGACGTCCCGGGACGTTTAAAAGGCAGTCTACATATTTCAGACGTCTTTCAGATGTCTCCAAGACGTATTTTAGACGTGTTCGTGCAGCCTGAGTTAGATTCTATCTAAGAAATCAAGGGAACGACCGCGTTCAGCGGAAGCTTAGTGATTATCGCTTAAAGAGGTCGTAAGGTGAAACGAGTTTAATAAAAATTCGATGAAATTTGCATTAATCTGTTAAACCTAACCGTTAACAGGTTAATATGTTATCATGCTCTATTGGCAAATTCTGTTATATTTCTGCTAGCAAGCTATCTGCAAAATTTATAGGAGATACTGTGCAAAATCTGCTTTTGTAGATTTGTTTATTGGACTGGCTTTATATTGGGCAACATTTGCCCGATGAATGCCAATATACCAATATTGGACTAATGTATCCCCAATAAATTATGCTACTAGGATATGGGGGACTTGATCCGTGGATCGAGTGTTCTCAATCTAGCGTTGATCATGTCTAAACCCAAGTAATATTTTTTTTTAATATCCATTTTATCTTTTGTAAACAAATAGGTTTTTGTTGACTAATTTTTCAATCACCTTTTTAAAGCAACCAACTTTTCATTCTTTTCTGGAGTTTTAATTTAATTACAAAACCTAACAACTTAAAGAACAACTGAATATTTACGAAAAAAAGAATTGGACATCCCATGTAATAAAACACATCCTCATTTTGTCGTTATCGACGCTCACTGTCAAAATGACATTTAATATGATTTACAGTAACCTTAAGAATGAGCACTGCTGCTAACATAAAGAAAGATCAAATCTTTCCTTTGTCGAAATAATGGCTAGGGGTCAAGGATCTCTCAAAGGATCAAACCCAAAGGATCCTCAGGTCCCCCTATATATGTACATATTTAAATCCTTATATACCTCTTTCTGTTATCTGTGCATCTCTATCAGATTAACTGATATATAAATATAGCATTAATAAGAGAAATAAAAGATAATAATATTTTCGTATTTGTAAATAGTAAAATAATAATATTTTCGTATTTGATCAATATTAAATTTATAAGTAGCCCCCTTGGTGCGCCACTGAAAATAAGACACTAAGCCCGACAGCTTCCTTAATTTGGCTTCCGAGTTAGCGCCGCATCCTTCGTAGATTCATTTCTAAACATTACACTTTAGGTCGGAATGACCCGAAAACCTATTTATTGTCGTCCGTAATCGATGTATATATATATATATATATTGTTAAATCTTTGACAGATCCAAAAAATACATCAACCAGAAAGAAACAATCAATAAACGCTGACCTCCGCTGAATGCAGCTCCGATGCTTCGTTACGTTTCGCTAAACGGCAATATTTTCCTCTCCCTCGTGTAAAATCACCTCCGGGAAGGGATGTAGCGCGCTCGGATGTATCTTTTAACCGCGCTTATGAAAAACGTAAGGAAATCTTTCGCCTTGTCGACATGGGATTTCCCCGGTCTCGTTGAACGTTGTAAATTTATTATTGAACGACAAGTGCCTAAGCCAACGGTAACCTAACCACTCCCGATGGAGGACAAAATGCGCATCGCGAGACCCCGGGCATCTAGATTGGGGCTCTTCAGAAATGCAACCCGGAGGAATGCGGCGTTATGCAGGGCCTCGTGAAATTCAAGACTCCCCGGGCGCCATATGCATGATTCTCACGTTCCTGCGTTCGTTGCATCCGCGCTATGCGTTTTATGTCCCGCGGCGCGGCGTCCGTACTTCATTTTCCATATTTCTTCGTATTCTCTCCGCGGGATTCTTTCTAATTTCACATAAATCGCGAATCATCGGACAAGCCGGCGCGCGTGCTCACGATTAATGTCGCGGCCGGCCCCACGTTTAAAATATTATCGCGCAATTTCGCGCTGAATAATGGCGGGCGCGATACACACAACGGCGAAATGCGCGCTCTTTGTGATATTTGATTTGTCATCGGGTGAATTTACAGCGTTTTTAGCAACTCGCTTTTTAGCAACCCCGTTTCCCATTTCTTTCCCGTCCATTCTCGCGATCATACCGAACGAGTCGGACGTGAGAGAGAAAAAAAGTGCAGCCCGGGTGATGTAAATTGGAGTCACGGAGGGAACGAGCTTCCTCTTCTCCTCGCTTTCTCTCGCGAAAGAGGGGTAGCTTCGCGCGAGAGATGCAAAAGAAGCGTCGGAGGGAACGAATTGCATTGTAATAGAGCGATACGTAGTTTCTCGCTGCTCCGCGCTTCCAGACAGCTCGTCCCGACTTTTGACTCTTCTGAATACGTTTACGGCAATATCGCGGAAGTAGATTTAGCAGAAACTTCCTCGAGAATTCCATTCAGTTTCCCGTCAGGTTTTTCCGCGACTCTACTTCTCCCGGGGAAACGTCAGTGTCCGTTTCAATTGATTGACAGAAATCGTCCCATCGGAGATCGAATAATCGAGCGAGGCGGTCGATTATTCCAACGATCGTACGCGTTGCAATGATAAAGTGACACTGTCCGATTAAATTTGATTCTTTCTTTGCATCTCACGATCGCAACGATTGTGGAGGACTTGAGGATCGTTTAATTTGCGTGATTTGCGCGTCCTCACGATCAACGACACGGAATAAAATTCCGAAGATGACGTTGTCGCGTATTGTCGCCTCTCGCTACGAATACCGTAAATTCCCGGTGGAAGCCTCGAAAATGGCATTCTGCCGGATTCGCTTTCGATATCGGCTCCGAGCATAGAAGACAATAGGAAGCGCGAAGCTATCTGAAGCTATCAGTTACAGCGGGGAGCTTCCTTTGTTCACTTCCTCGTGCTCGCGCTACTTCGAGGTCTTCCTTTTCCTCACGGTGGCAGGAAACTGTTCCATGTGCTTTTCGTTTCCTCCAAGGCGTCTCCGCAAAGCTACTTCTCTCGCGCGCACGGAAGCTCTGTGTCGAGAAATCGAACTCGCAGAGAGCAAGAGTGGCTCTCGTCACGGAATCTCTTTCGAATTTGCCCGCTTTTCCATTTTAAAGCAATCCCCAAGAAATTCCTCGCATCCGTTCTTACGCTTCCGGAATGAGCTTGCGTTAATCTACCTCGAAAGTAATCGCTCGACTTTCGGTAACGTTGATTGTTAAATAAGCGATTTTTTACCGTGTGACAAAAAAATAAAAAAAAGAACTATAGTTTTCAAGTTTCGGAAGAATACCGTTTTTCCTCATTTTTCCGCGGATTTTTTCCCGTTTTAAGGGTACAAAAATTCGGGTAGAAAAATTCACATATATTAAAACCTATCACATTAATTTTTTTCCGTAAGGAAGGTAAGAAACCAGAAAAATCCATAGGAAAATGGGGAAGAGATGTTTTTTCCGAAACCTTAAAAAAATGTACTCTTAGTAATATTCGAAACCTTAAAAAAATATACTCTTAGTAATATCATGAAACATTTAACGCACGAAATTACGTTTATTATTAGCAGGGGAAAAATGTTTGAAATATTGAAGGAATTATAAGCATATTGCAAATATTAATATGCAATTTGCAGCATTATTTCCGCACGCAAAGCTCTCAGCTAAATATCTCGGATAAATATACGCCGTATATAAAACGGTCGGAACTGCAGCGTTTGATTGTATTCACGTGTGTGTGTGTGTTGTATGCACAGAAATGGAAACGGGGAAGGGGTGATCACGGTAGAAAGATCGCATTGGTCTATTATAGCGCACTTTTCTTTGTTCGGTTTCCCTTTCTGCATTTTCCGCCCTCTGCTCGCCTCGCGAAGCAGAATCGCTCAAAGCGTTTTTCGACTTTCGCCCTCGATAAAGCGCTTCACTCTCTCGTCCGAGACGAGATCGCGGATTTAAGTGTGTACAGGACGCCACTTTATAACAGCGTCCTGCGCTGAATACATTCGATGATCGAGCCATTACCGCGGGGAACAACAGTTGAATAACGTATTACGATAATTTTCGAGCTCGGAGAAGGAAGAGCTTCTCTTTGTGAAATCTGTCGGTATTTCAAGATTACGTACAGTTACGTAGAGGTCGCGGCCATAGAGGTTGACGCACGTTTTATTTTCCGATACTTTTCGGAACGTATTCGACGTTCAATGAGAAAGTCTATCTACTCTGGAAATTTCTCAAAAATCCCGTGGACAATGGTTGCCTTCCGAAGTATGTCGAAGGAGAAATCTATTGTATACCACGTCAACTGTAAATCGATTAACCGATGTCTGAGTGATCAAAGAACGAAATTTCGCGGTCTAACTCGAAGAACTTTTAGATTTGGAAGCGCTCGCGGACCCTACAGCTTTTATAAATGAAAACTCACGAAACGTCGACATCGATCCATCGGCGCCCTTAAAATGCAAAATCATTTTGTTTGTTTATATAATAGCAGGCAGAAATCTACGTGATATTACTAATCGGCTACGACGACTTTTCCACGATTCTCATTATCCGCGATGAGTAAGAGTGAGCCGCGTTATTACGTTGTTGAGGGGAGAAACGATTCGTCATCGTCGAGACTTCGCCACTCGTTCTTCGAGATCCATTAATTTTACGAGGTAGACCGATGATGCCTTTTTACCCTGCGCGCTTAGAGACTTCTTGCGGTAAACAGATAACGTCTTACTTACATCGCAATTTGATAAGATCTTCATTGTTGCACTCGATAACTTTATTTGAATAACAGTTAATATATATGCCGATGTATGATGCAATTTAAAATGTGTCATTACACATAAAATGTTCAGTTTACTACACTAATCAAGAAATCGTGTCTGTTGGTGTGATTATTATTACTTTTTCGTTAGAACAATAAAAAATTGGATGGGACCAAAGATGACTAATTTATAATGACACCGATCATTTCCTTCTCTCAGTGTGCGTGTAAAAATCTACGAGCTATGCAAATCGCATTGATTTTTTATGTAAACCAACCGTCATCAATAAATCCGTCACCATAAATCTTTGCGTCTGACTCACCAATCAACGGGAGCTCGGTATCGGCCACGTTCTGCTACAGTTCTGCAACAAAAATAATAGTATCGCTGATTAAATATGATGATTAATGGCTTGACGAGATAAATTCGCGTGAATACAAGCGAATTAATCCTCTGCGATTGTTGCAACTCAACGGTTTTCACGGGGACAATTATGTCCCAGTTTCGCTCGCGAAGGATTAAATTCGAGAATGTTCGGGAAATCTATAAAACTACCTTCGAGACGATCCTGTTTGGCCCGAGCCGGATCCTCCGGTACGGCATCCGCGTAAACGGAAACTGCTTCCCTTGGGAACCGCACCCAGCGTGTGGCTATGAACTTCATTGGATCTGCACAAGAGCAAGTTTTCTGGTTGGTTATGTGGAAATATGTGAACATATTAAGAAGGGCAGCTTGAAACTGTGTGTGTGTATATATATATATATCTTTTTTGAACTAGTAAAAAGATAAATGGTAGTCTCTAATACGAGTTTAGAATGCTATCATTGTTAAAAATAATACTAATATGATGTTGATATGTGCGAAATAACGCGACGCGTACTAAAAGCAATTTGATCAGTTGGAAAACTCGGGAATCACGCGCGATGTTTCCTAACGTTTCCCGACTTTCTCCCGGCGCGTTAAGGACCAATATGATCGCTCGATAGTTGCGTACATAAACATTTTATTGGTTTCGGCATCCATGCTCGGCCAGAAATACTTTAGAACATAGTTATGTTACGTATTCATCAATTTCACATTCTCCATATTGTAATATTAACATTATACATTATTTTATAGCACTTATGATAAATATTCGGGTAAGGTCACATCTCACGGACAACAATAAGGTAACAAGCCTTAGAGTGAGCTAAATTTAATGAAACAATTGTTTATATATTTATCAATACGTGTATAAGCATAATTGTCAAGTTAAAATTTTATTAAAATCGAGCTTATTTGAGATTAAACAAATAATAAACTGTTGTTCATACATACTTGTATTCCTTAGATAATTGTATTATATTACAGGTAGTATAATTAAATTTCTTAGCATTTTACTCTGCTCGTATTTCTTTTGAAACTTGCTCCTTCCATCCGCCATGCGACGGATCACACCCCTTTGTGATGCAACGAGCTTCTTATACTGTTGAGCTAATTCACCCACCTCGTCTATCTATCTTCAAAAAATAACTCTCTGGAATACTGCAGCTCGTCCTTCGAACTTGGCTGTTGTTCGCTGTTCGTGGCAGCTCTCGAATTATTTTGCAAATTAAATTCTGGAAGTGTCAGTCATCGAAATACGGAAAATTTGCCGCATTGAGAAATCTGATGTCGTAACCATGACAGCGTTCATTGCTTATTCGTCTAACCGTTATAATATAATATATACGGTTAAATAAGAGAAATGTCTGGCTCAGGAAACTACGTAAAAGTTGGAAAATATTCTGACAATATTACAGAGCTGTATACATTTTATGTTTAATATAAATGCGCTGCAAGCGAGAGAGGAAGAGATAAAGAAAGAAGTGAAAGTAAAAGTTATGAAATAATAATCCAAGACAAAAACTTACAATTTTGAAATCCCGAAAGATCAAATTTTCCGATCGTGTGAACGTTCATTTACTTCCTCTCTTGATTATCGAAAAATAAAACGTAAATCCTGAATAAAATAAATCAAAAAAGAATTGTAAAATAAACATGTTTCATCTTTCAAAACTCCCTCTTTTTCCCCTTTTTCCCTTTCTCCCTTTTCCTTTCACTGTCACTTTCTTTCTTCTTCGATAGTGACGTACAAATTCTGAAATATCACTTTCAGGCACAAGCTCCTGGAAGGAACAATTTACGGAGGCATTGACCGTTAGTGGGGGCGACGAGGACGACGCCGAGGGTGGAAGCGGTCAACCGTCTTCACCATCGGCGATGGATTATCTCATGCACTCACTCACCATTTTCTGGAAGGTTCTCTTCGCCTTCGTCCCACCTACCGGTGAGTAACGATTATTCGTATCATCGACACACTTTGCGGCCGATAACGGATCTTATTTTCTCAGCTCGATTTACTTCGTTGATTTCCGTCTAATTATGAATTATACGGGTACTTTCTTTTCAAAACATACTTCTCGAAACGATTTAGCTCTCGTCTTATTTATTCACTTTCTTGAGGCGACATTTTGTATCTGGGCTTAAAATATTGTCTTCTACGTGCGATGACACAGTTCGCGATAGCGCTGTTGTTTTCTTTTTTCGCAGAAAGTGAATCGCCCCCTTGGGAATAATTTTATTCTGCCGTATATATGTACAGCACACGGGGCGCGATAAAATCGCACGATGCGAATGCATTCTAGTTTACCGTGCGAATATACGAGGTGTTTTTACTATGACTAATAAAAGAGTATGGGAACACAACACTTGCCGCCCTGCAAACGCGTGCGAGCGATCGCGACACGTCGCGTAACATTGTTCTCTAATATCAAGTTTTTATCAAGCGCATCGCGAACTGAATAGAGATAGAAAGAGAGAAAGGGAGAGAGAGAGAGACAGAAAAGATTGTTTCAGCCGATTAAGAGGAACGGAAAGACCCCGGAAGAGATCGGATTAAACGTACCCGCGATTTAGCGGACGGGCATTACGAAGATAAAACGTTAGTGGCTAATTGAGATAAGGGAAGTGTGCGAGCTAAGGAACGATTAAGAGAGACACATCGAATTACGCACGAGTGAGGGAGAGGGGACGGGGCAGAAGGATGTAAAACATAAAATAAAATATGAAGCGGAGAAGTCTGAAATGCGCGAGGGGATAGAGATATTAAGGTTAGAGGATGGCACATATACAGCTTCGCGGGGGATTGTGGAATTTAGAGAACTCGTGGGGAGCCACGGGATCAGCGTGTAACACCAGCTGGATTCCCCCGCGCTGTTTTTTGAAGTACGACCACGGGTGGAATACTATCTGATCTCTCGCCGTTTCCGTTTCTTCGAGTGTGGAAACGCCGGAGATAAAAGGCGCGTTATCACGCCCCTCTTGGCTCCCGACATACTTTTCACACCGTTTCGCACCGGTTTTTCTCCGCAGGAGGTACACGTGAAACGTCGAAGATGTGCCGGGAGATTACCTTTTCTCCGATAGAATTAGCTTCTGCGAATCGAGGCGGAAGAATTCCGAGAGTGGTAGAGAGAAAGAAGAAGAGACGAGAGAAGGGAAGAGAAAAAAAATAAGAGGAAAGGGAAGGGGAGAACGAATAAACGCGAGCATTTGCGAGATTATACATGCAGCGTATGTAATGCTGCATCATTCCCGTACGTTACACCGGTATGCACTATGCTGTGGTATCTTTATTCACACATACTTTTACGTATATTTGTATCAATCCGGCGAAATATACAAGATTACTCCCGTCGCGGCGGGTATTTCATTTCCTCATGCACCCCCTCCCTCCTTTGCTTGCCTCATACTTTTCGCCAACATCTTTTTCACTTTCGTCTCTTCTTTCCTTTTGTTTTTGAGGTACGAAGGGATTTTCTCTGCGTCTTTTAGTTACGGCTCTGCCTCCACCGGCTGGAAGAAAACGATGGAAGGTCGGAGGGGAAGGAGGTGGGGCAGTAGGGAGAGAGGGGCGAAGGAGGAAACGTGCTTTATTTCAGCGAGCACAATCGCGAAAGCCTGCTGAACTGGCAAAAGCTCTGAAAACTACTGTATCGAGCAGCGTAGTTTCACCCTGTTTATTCCTCGCCGTCCTTTCTCCTCCTTAACCCTCCGCGCCGTCCTTATAAATCAACGTTTCGTTGCAAGATGCGAAACTGCATTTGCCTTCCTTTATTCGGGGCTTAAGAGGGGGGAAGGGAGGATGGGTTGGTAAGGGTGGAGGAATCCGGCCAGCCAAGAGTCGCCGAAATAATCGAGGAACTTTTTCGGATGTCGCTAACGAACGCCGAAACGCGATGCGAAATAATACAAAAGCGGACGTCTCGTTACTGTTTCGCAGAAACTGAAAACCGCGGTTATACGCGCTATTTAAAAGACGAGGCGTCGCCTGCAAAATTCGTGAACACGTCGCCCTTTGTCCGGAGGTAATTTCCAGCAACGCTTTCGCCGCCGAGCTTTACAAAGCGATTTTTGCGCGTCCGTCACCGCCGCCGTTTGACTGGAAAAAAACCCGTAAAATTCGAAGCCGAGGATTGAATACCCACGGGAGACTTCATTTGGGGATTAAGTGCGGAAACGTCGCAAAATATTTTAACATCCGCTGCTGTTTCGGGAATATTAGAAAATCTCATGAACGCGCATAGACACATACATATGTACGTTCGTGCACGTATACGTATGCGCGAGCGCGCCCGCAAGCGGTGTTCTCTGCTTTTCCACGAAATTTTCGCGTGATTTATAGCGACCTGCACCCGCATACTCTTTTCCAAAGTAATTTTCGTTCGCGGAATTTACGACAATGGCTGTTCCGCCTCTGTAGAGCGGCGTGTTCGAGATACTAAACAAGTTTTTCCCAATAAGTGTTAGAAACTGATAGATTCGCCGGAGCAAACGGTATATTTGCAACGGTAGAATAAATATATTAGTTAATTCTCTCTCTTTAAAAAAATATCATGTATATTATTTTTACAAAAAAAAGTACCACATATATTTTTTATAAAAAAAAAATAAATTTTTTTCGCTGTTGGGATGATATATGTTACTTTTTTATACGATACGTACAAGCAAAACAAAGAAATATAACATTTTTCGTCCTTTTCAGCTCGTACTTTTCCGTGTGCGGAAAACTTTAAATCAAACTTTAGATTATAAATCGGAGCTGAGCTCTCTCTCTCTCTCTCTCTCTCTGAACGCCAGAGAATTACATTGTAATTTATTTTGATATTTTTAGACGTTTAATTTAATGGCGTTACCGCATCGGGCTTACTCAGCCCCGAGGGAGTTTCCGAGCTTGCTGACTTTCCGATAATTACATAATGTAATCAGTAGCTAGTCGCTGTCTGACAGCTTGAAAAAGACCACGAAACACGTTAATAAATCAGTCGAGTTTAGCAAGTACGGCGAGCGTGCTGCGATAATATACACCGGCCACGTGTTAACAGTAAAGCTAACCGCGTGTTTACGGACTCTTTAGCTATATTTACGCCGGCGTTCACCGTAAACATGGCTTCCTATAAAGATCTCTAATAATAATTTCTTCTTGTTGTCGGAAAGAGGGGTGGGAGGGAGGGAGAGAGAGAGAGAGAGAGAAGCGCCCATAAATCTCAATTCGATCTCTCATAAATGACGAGTTTTGATTGTTGTTCGGATTTTATCGGTTATCGATTTCGACGCTCGTTGAAAATTTCATCGGGATTATTTCGGATTTTCTTCCCTCCTCGAAGATTTCTCTCTTCTGGTGATCCCGTTACATATAAGTATGTATTTTTGGAATCTCTCCGGTAAGCTTCGCGCTTATTCGGATTATTTGTAGCGAGGTCTATGGTATTTCAATACGAGATGACGTGTGTACACACAGATATTCTTATTTGCCGTCACCGTCATAATTCAAACGGATATCGCGGTTACGGCTTTCATGGCGGATCGTGTCCCATACGTCAGGATGTGCGTCAGGTGCGGTCCCATAATTCGTGCGAGGGAATCGGGTCACGTTCCATAGACAAAACTGATTGCAGCCTTGGAGTCCCGCGAGCGCAGTGTACGCGACATTTCATCACGTATTATAAATAGAAATTAATTCGGCGGGTTTAACGCGATTAAACGCGCGATGTGATTGTCATCTTACATCGTGCGGTCGTTATCGCTTATAATATTCAGTCCGATCGGATTTGATGGGAAAATTGGAAAATTCCCGGAACAACGGACGCTCGGAATGTGTGTGTGTGTGTGTGTGTGTGTACGTTGCTTTGCACGCACGTGCGCGCGCGCGCACATACACACGCGTATTCACACATAATCGTACGTGAGAGCACAATGCCGAGCATCTGGCAGTTCTAATTAATCCAATTAATCTGAATGACCGGAAAGGACCTGCGCAAATATTTGCCTGTCGTGCCAGTGTGCAAAGTACTTGGGAGATGCCGCTAGATAAACGTCAATTGGCACTTTATAAATAAGTAAAGCGATCTGCGTAGGCGACTATTAAGCGGCGTTCCCAAATAAACGACATGGTGAAAGAAAATGCGAGCTGGCGCGCAGAGAAGCGTTACGATGTGCGATATTAAATAATTAGACGGAACGTGCGGACGGCGAGCAAAACGGTATCGCGATTTACGTAATCCGCGTAATCTTAAACAGATAGTTGTTAGATGCAAGTTTTCAACATACTTTTTATACGATATACGTTTGAGCATACATCTTTTCCATTTTTTTAAATATACTTCTCGTAATATATATTATCTAATATATTTTATATTCTGTACACATAATATTGACATGACGTGCTGCAAAATTACCAAACTTTAATAATGTGTTCTGAGCTTAACTGGAATACAAAATTCAGACGCAGAAATGTCGAGGCGTCGAGTTATAAGCGAATGAAAAACACGACTGTTTCGCGAGTTAAACTTCGGGGAGCCAAATGAATAAGAAAATTACATTTCACTTAATTTCCGGCGGAGTATACTTGGACAGAATTCTCATTGAAAGCTTAGTTGCAGAGATATGTCAGATCAAAAGTTGGAAAATCGCAATGAAAGGTTGGTTCGATCTTCCTCGAGACGTTTTCGTATCAGGATTTTCGATTCTCCCCAATTAATCCTCAAAATACGCTATCGAAATACCACGCGATAATTTTGCGACGATTTTTTTTTTATCATATCACACATCTTTATAATCCTCTAAACGGAAATGTACAACACGACCGCGCCGTTTAATCAGTTTCCGAATTGCGGCGTATTCACACGTGGTTGAGCCGCAGCCGTCGGCGAAGTTCGCGGGCAAAGTTTCGCGGCATCCCGTTCATCTCCAGACGAATCGTACGGCTGGATACGAGAATTCCCATGTTACGGCGCTCCGTTATCGAACTCGCGAAACACAAATCGCAGGGGACGTCAACCCCCCTTCGTCGAGCGTCGGCTTTAATTACACGCGGAATAAAATCTTGATTAATCCGAGAAGCGCGATGCGCGCGCACGCTTCGCCTTCATTATTAAATCTTCTAGTTCGTCATGTTTGCGCGATGTTTGCGCGACACATGCAGCCGATTACCGGGCAGTTTCAATCGTTTTTTTCCACATGCTTCGGAGCACACAAAAGATACGACGAAGTGAATCTGTGTGATTCACGAACACATGCGGTAGATGGTCAGCAACTGTCAGAATTTCATATGTTCATGTGTCCAAATTAGATATGTGTATGTAAGTTTTGACAGCTGCCTGACCATCTACCGCGCATGTTCGTGAATCGTACACTGTTAAGAATGTTCTTAAGTAATAGCGTTTCTGACAGTAAATCTAAAAATTTTATATTAAAATTTATAACTTTTCTTAATTTTCATGATATCAATTATTAGTTATGAAATAATCATGATGTTCCATATTTTCTATAAAAACAAAGGAACAAATATATGAAATTTAATATTTTTCCGTCTTATATAATTTGTTATATTTTTCATATTTAGTTATGACACCTTATAAACACGATATATTACAGTTGTTCTAAAAATTTGTTTAATAATGCACAGTATAATGGTTAATACATGTATAATGGAGGATTTGATAATGATATAAACTGTTAATTGTGTATATTAGTGAAATACATCAATTGTGATGTATTTCACTAATGTTCAGTTAGTAAATCTCATATTCTAAATTATTACATCATTATGAAATGTGGATTCAGAATGTCTCTTCATAACTATTCGTTATTAAATGTAATATCAATTTGATAATTAATTTTCACACTTGGTAACTTATGTAAAAAAAAAAAACTTCCCAACCAAATCAAGAAGTTTTCCTAACAGTATAGGTTCGCTTCGTCGTAATTTTTGTATGTTTCGAAACATATGTAAGAAAAAAAACTGTTGCAACTGTCGTATGTGATCGACTGTACAGAAAGATATAAAAAGCACGAGGTGAACAGCGTTTATCTTTTGCTTTTTCCGTCTTGTTTCAGATATCGCGGGCGGTTATCTGTGCTTTATCGTCAGCATCTTGGGAATCGGCGTCGTCACAGCGGTGATCGGGGACGTCGCCTCATACTTCGGCTGCACCCTCGGTATCAAGGATTCCGTCACCGCGGTGGTTTTCGTCGCTCTTGGTACTAGCATCCCCGGTAAGTGTCAAACGAAACGCAAACTACCCTAACACACTAAACTGCTAAGCTAGCGGGTCACCGGCGAGATCGTATCGGCCGCACGCATTTGCAACACAGATGGCACGAATTATGGAATGCTTATACAGCGAGTGTCTCCAAACTAGGGTGCTCTTCGTGCAAACACACCGAGCGTCCCAATTTACGTCTTCTCACGCGCGTTCATCTTCAGAGAGAGACAATTTTATCGAACATTTCTATTTTTAAAAGTTTTATGGAGAATGTGTTTCAACGCTTCTTACTGCGTTTCTTACAGCAAAAATCAATTATTTCTTTATGAGTTTTTAAACATTATGTAAATTTGACTGACATTCTCTTGCTACACTCCCGAGAACAAATATTCCATATATAATTATATATAATTTATATTTATATTATATCTTTATATATAAACATATATATATATATAATTATGTATGAGAAATTTTTTCCCAGCGTATCAAAGCTATATATCATAAATCATGTTTATAAACATTAAGCATAGATTTTTTGAAATTTTTCGTGCTTTATTAACCATCACCTTTCTAATAATATCGTCAACTACCTTAAATTTAAGAGTCACGGTTTTGCCGAGATATTCTTCATCATTCCGAATAATTGATTTTATTGAAGATTCTCGAAATAGCAGTTATATCGCAGCTTTTTCGTAATGTTGTTTACCTCCGGTGAATAGTTTTCTATACGTTCGCTGACAACAGCGAACGCCGCCATGTCGGGACTCGTAAAACCTTAATGGAAGTAGTTGCGAGCAGCTTCCGTCGTTCTAAAACAGTTATTTATCTCGCGGGCAAGTTGAATGACTTTCAGGAATTTCCCTCGCCACATGTTTTGCACAACGGCAGAATCTCGGCCCTTACTTTAAAATCATTAAGGCGCAGGCATCCGCACTTCATCATACGCTGTTTGTTTTGGCGGTTATTTCTGTGTTGCGCGCGTTATATTCGTCGACGGTGACTTATATCGACCTGCAGTCGGGCGGATATGTTACTATGTCATGTCTCGCGGAAATCAAATTTCCGAAAAAGAAAGAAAGAGGAGAGAGAGAACGAGTGAGCGAAGAAGAATTCAATCCCGCGTTGCAGCTACAGATCGAGGCAATAACTGGTTTCACCTTGAGAATATCTTCGAAACAAATATATTTTATTAACTGCGCAGTTAAAACGGTTGCGAAAACGGTTTACCGAAATTTTGATGTCACTTTAACGGGGAATATGTTGAAAAGTACACGAATATACGTTAAATTAACATATTCATCTTGTTAATATATTATTCTTTAAGACATTCACCTCGTTGAAGTAACACAAAAATTTGAATGGATCGTTTGTAATAGCAGATTTTTTACTATTTAGGTGAAAAGATGAAGGAAGTTTCCATTTACAGAAGATGGTCCGAGTGATGTCCGTTGGCATCAGTGCAATTTCTCTGATGGATAGATCTTTCACTGCTCTCATATTTCGAAGATACTGAACGTGATAATAGTTATTGTCTCACTCACATATAGGGATATTGAAAAATTATAGGTCTGTAACATTCCGCAGCTTTGTCTCGCAACATCGTTCCCCGTATCTATTATCGCGATCCCCGGATCCGTTCGAGTTTGGTTGGAGCACCTTCAGCGAGGGCCGTAAAAGAAAAAAGAAAGGAAGAAGAAAGAACGCGTAGAAATAACGCTATGGCGAGGAAGGACGTGGAAGTAAATAACGTTTCGAGATCCATGGACAATCTTTATTGGTCGGTCCGAATTGCCCCTTTTATTATCGTAGCCGGCAGCGTCCCGGCGCAGAGAGCTCAGATTAGGTTCGGTCAGGCAATCATTAAGAGGCTACGATTCACCGTGTTACGGAGCGCGGCTGATCCACGGGGTAAAGTCCCATCGATGTCGGGAACCGTTTAAAGTGGGTACATACTTGTCCATGAACATGCTGAAGATGCTTTCTCGGGGATAAAGAGCCTGATAAATCTCAAGTTGCCGCGCGGAAAATCCCGCTTTTCCCAGCTTTCCGTACTGTAGTGCGCGCGCGTCCGCTTCTTTTGTAATGGGATTTTCACTCGCATCGCCAATCTCGAGATAATAATTGCATTCTTCCCTCCCTCACAAAGAAAGCGCGACAAGGACGACGTTTTTTCAAACCAAGAAATTTCTCTTCCGCGCATCGGCTTTTGGCACAAAGATTGCGCGTGGTTATCGATGCTGTTTCTAACGGATGTTACATACATGTGTGTATATTTTTTAGTAGGTTCGTTCGCCGGACCTTTTAACCGTTCGATCGGCAATTTCGTCACCCCTATTAAGCTGGACCCCCCCACCATCGCAAATCGAGTTCGGAAATACCATCACGTACCAAAACGTCATACCAGGTATTTTGCAAAAAATATTATATGTACCCACTTTCTTTTGGCTATCTTAGAGCAACAAAATAGCAACAAATTCCCATATAATTGTTTTTTTCGTACGACCATCCTAAATAATTTTTTCGTTATGGGGATCCAGCTTAATGTCTACCTGGCTCCACCCATTTTAAACGCTATTTCCTGCTAAATGGCTGGAGCAACAAAATTGCGATTAGAGCAACTAATTAGCACATAAATAGTATTAAAATTTTTGTTTAGTGCGAACTCGATAGTGGGGGGTTCCCCAGCTTAACAGGGGTAATTTCGTCCCTACGTTATCGGCCGGCAAAAAATGTGCACGCGTGTATATTTAGAAAAATGGAATTAATTATATCGGTATCTCCGGCAGCGCGATTGCGACCTAACCCCTGCGTGTCTCTCTCTCTCTCTCTCTCTCTCTCACTATTTCCGTACAAAATCCGCGACAAAGGCATTTAATAAATCATTTGAGCAGGCGTTATCAAAAGCTATTAAAAGCATAACGACAGCTACGTCATTACGGGTTTCTGGGTCAATAGGTTACGTCCAAAATTTGCATCTAGAACAGCAGTTGCCTCTCGCGCGAAATTGATTATTCCAAATACGTCCATAAAATCTTAATGCACGCCGGCACTGCGGCTATTCTACTTTGCGCGATACCAAGAAACAGAGAGAAAACACCGCGAGTCGTGGCAGCTTGCAACAATTAGACACCGAGCGCGCGCGTCGTTTCTTTTTCAACTATCGAGAGCAAGTTAACCTATATTTATATAGATTGCATCTTGATTTGAATGTCATCCGTACGCGGGCACGCCGTGGCTGCGTGCACATTAACCGGCGGAATAGCCTTAACACGCAGTGTCACTTGGGTTACTGGTATTTTATGACCGTATACATTCCTTTCTTCGAACATTGAAGTAAATCCATCGAATCAATAATACGTCAGAAAACGGTTGGAAAAATCTAGCCTATATATTGTTGGTGTTATTCTGCCGGTATTAATTTGACTGTATATATATATATATATATATATATATTTGTACGTGTAACCACGCATCGCGCATAATCTTTACATCGCGAATATTCGCACAGTCTTAAATAACACACAGTGTCTATACAACTGTCTATACTTTTTCTCGCCGAGAATCAATTCGATTTGCGTCTAAACAAGCTGCGAGCGTTCAAATTGTACATTCACCATTTCACGTTGATATCCGGTGACGTCTGGCTGTCCAGGTCCATCGATGAAATCTACAGCTGCATCCTGTCCGCGTCCGTCCAGCCTCCTCAGCATCCGAGCTCCGTAGCGGCCATTGTTCCACGTCGATCACTCTTTACTCACTTCACTTCATTCCACTGCACTGCACCGTCCCGCGCCGCACTGCACTCGCGACCGCGATCATTTAAACGACGCGCGATGATTTAACGAAAAAATAAGCGACGGATTCCGGCACTTCGGGAGATATCAGAGTGTTTATATTGAGCGTTTATAGCTTTCGGGAATACTTTAGTGCCTGAGAGTCGCAAATTACGTGTAAAAAAGGCGAACTGATACGATACTTTCGGCAAGAGAGAAAGAAAGAAAAGATATTAGGTCTGTTTTTCTTTCTTCTTCTGTAAACTAGTGTATACTTGTAAAACTTAAAAAGAAACAAATATATAGTTAAGACTTGGTGGAAAAAAGAGAAGAAGAGAACTAGTGCGAGTTAGTGCAGGCAATTCAACGAAAAAGTACAGACCTTTTGTTTCGCGAACGGTTACAGTTCGCCAACAAATAAGCTCCTCGTTTCCAAGAGTTCTAATTCTCGAGGAAAACGATAAGAATACGTGTCGGATTTAATGAAAATTTCGATCGACTTTATATAATCCGTCGTGTATGAAAAAATTCGAAATTCATGTTGCGGGAGTACTTGAGTGGCTGAGAGTCGCTTCACGAGAACAATTCGTTTCGTCTCGCAACTTCGTTAAATGAAGAAAAGTGAAAAGCGATAGTCACCGTCGAGATTCCAGGGTGCTGCCCAGGGCGATCCAATATGACAATCGCATGTTGCGTAACGCGGCTTACGCGGGTCGGAAAATCATGCGCGACGATCCGCTTGCGTTCGCGCGAAAGACTGTATCGCTCATTGTATTTATGTTTGTCATTGTTCCCGGAGTCACACCTGTCCTTCAGCGAGTCGCGTTTGCGAGAGTGCACCGTTGTATTGGCCATTCATTAATATCACGTTCTCTCGTATCGTAATATTCGTATTATATATTATGTCATTGTGTTTAATTCCCTCTTGATATTTAAACTATAAAAGTGCACGTCCCCGGCGACGACAGCGGTAAGCAACGACTCATAACGAAACGATAAATCAGCTTCGCGAGACGAGAGGCAACAAAGAACTTTTTTTTTCCTTTTACATAGGATTAAAAAGCAAAAACTTCTGGGCGCTTTTGCCTCGCGGATTCCTATCTCGTGAATACAAATATAAACGCGAACGTCCAAGCCAGGGCCGACCTTGAGCTCAACTTTGCTTTTACTTTGTTATCCGCGGAGTGTGGATAAAGCACGTCTCTCTCTCCCTCGAAAACGATCGAGTTTACGAAGAGATTCGACGGAAATCAATTTTGCAGAGAATTTCGGTTTGCGCTCGGAATATTTTTTTCACGCTCGTGACGGTTCTCCTCGGAAGGAGGCTTCTTCTTTCTCACCGAGTTTCCGGCACGGTCGTTTCATGCTTTTGTGCTTTGCGCTAAAATAACGTCTCGCGATATTTTACGGCCTCGCATAGGGGAATGCGCGGATATCGACGAAATTTGCGGGATGCACAGCAGGATTGCTTAAGTCACTTTTGCGCTCCCCTTCTAAGCTCCGTGTTCCTTCTCCCCGAAAACTCCGTAAGAAACTTTCTTCTCCAGAAGCTCATCAATATTTATGCCAGAGGGTACCTCCGATCTCCCAAAGTACCGCTCGACGAGATCGGTTTGGCGACCTTCCTCTCCATATCGCCGGCGAAAGAAGCACGTAGACTCTTAAACTCGTACAGGATGTCTCGGAATTGCATACGATACTCTATGCAATGTGGTCTGATGTAACGACGCCGCGCCATACTTATTATTAATGTTAGGTGCTCGCAAAAGTTGGTACGATATTAAGGCCATTTTATTTATCGATAACAATGAGATGACGTACAGTATTTTAATCAAAGTATTGGCCGTTGCTATCAATAATCTTTCGCAATCCTTCGGATAGAAGAGTTCGATCCGATAAAATGACTCGTCCTTTAAAGTAATCTATTCATCGACCTATTTTCGCATTTCCTCGGCATTTCGGAACCGTGTATCAGATAGACCGTGCTGCATCGATGAAAAAGAAAGGGGGACATCTGGAAAATAGGCTGGGTGCAGCAGGGCTTTACAATCGAACAACGTCTCTTTAGTCGCAACAGCAACACGCGGCCTGAAGCAGGATGACTTTATGACTCGATTCGTAAGCGCCTAATATATTATTGCATTGTCCAATTTGCGACACATACAATATGATGATCATTAAAACCAGTCATCATGAAACGAAAGCTTTATGGCCGGCGTTTTCGCGTCGTAAATAATTTTCGCTGGAAAATCGCGCCCCCTCCCTACGAAGAGTCGGGATCGATCGGCGAAAGCTCGGCGCTCTCGTCGAGCGATAGATGTTTTTCCGTAGATTTTCGGCCATTTTCAGCCACATCTGTCCTGAAACGTAATCCCGGAAAACCGTCGCGTTTACCGCACGCGATTTGAATTCCGACCGCGCGTTATTACATCACGGACCTCCCCGCAGCTCCGCGAAATGTTTCTTACTCCGCTTTATACCACGAGGAGTAGGATATCGCGCGCTCACCTCGCGCTGCCGCCATAAACTGCAAACTGGTACAAACTGCGTGTCCGAGCGGTGCCAAGACAGCCGCCGCGCTTTAGCGCACTCGGCGATCTCTCTGATTGTCGCCGGAATGCGTCCCATAAACCGGCGCCGAGCTATGAAACGCGAGTTTTACCTCACGCAACATTGCGAATGAAACGGGGCGCAATAAAGAGGGATATTGGATATGCGGATCAAAGTTAATAGCCTCTCTGGCCTGGACTGTGTGTAATCGAATATCCCCGTTATCCCGTTCCGAGCCGGACTTTTAATTCAACCACTTAAAGAGCTGAATAAGTGACAAAGTGGCCGGCGCGCATTTCAACGGTGCGATTCCTCGCGGATGACGTGACGCGAAATCACGATGCGCGCATTTCATTTCAGACACGTTTGCCAGCAAAGTAGCCGCCTGTCAAGACAAGTACGCCGACGCGTGTGTGGGCAATGTCACCGGGAGTAACGCGGTGAACGTCTTCCTCGGGATCGGCGTTGCGTGGAGTATCGCCGCTATTTACCATGCCTGCCATAATGAGACGTTCTTCGTCGAACCCGGCAAGTGAGTATAAACGACGCTCACGATTTCTTGTTCACGGTATTCGAGTACTCAAATCATTTGAAAAATAACTACTCGAGTATACCGGAGAGATAAAAACGAGCAAGAACAGATTCGGGTTTTAATACAGAAGGCGTCAAGTGTGCTCGGTGAAATTAGAAATCGCGGCTCTGTTCTCAATCGCACGGGACGCGATCGGCACGTGGCGGTGGGTCAGGTAAGGTATGACGACGTGACCTCGATAACCAGCCGTCATCCCCCATTTACGATCACTTTCGTGAAACTATTCTCAAGAAATTTGGTCAAAGCATCGCGACAGCAACTTGGCCGGCGCTGCTCTCGACGACAACGACGCCTTTGTCTCCCCCGCGCTACGTGAAATTGCCATCGGTGACGTATCGACGGAAATATCCCAATCAGCCGTTTGTCCGCCTTAATAGATAGATGCCGTGGTGACGCCTAGTCGATAAACGCCTTGCCGGAGTTCGCGTAATCATCGAAACCGATTAATTATTGATCGACCTTCCGCCGCTGCTTCCGCATTCTTCCGTCCGAATTCAATCTTCTCGACGTGGGCCGCTTTTAATCGACCAATTCGCCTCCTTTTCACATGCTCGCGCGCGTTTCCTCGCACTTTTTCACGATGAACCACCGCGTGGAACCTCTGCTTTACGACGTTCTCAATTTTCCATCCTACGACGCTGATATCGCATTTTACGAGGATTTTGACGCTCGCAAGATGGGGCATCGTATCTAGCCTCATATCCGTCGGCGTTTCCCCGGAAATTGAATACACGAACGCGCAGAAAATGTCTCCTATTGCAATCAGTCGGATTATCGCGCCCCGATCATCATTTCGACGGCTTACTTCGATCGCGAGGTGTGAAGCTGGACTGTTCGGAAAGATCCCCAAAGTTATCTCTTCGCCGGCGATCCTCTCGCTCACCGAACAGTTCAAACGTGGATCTTTTGTTCCCGTACACACCGATAACGTCTCTCTCTCTCTCAGCTCGCGACGACCCTCGCGAGGACAATACATTCGCTACGAGCTGTTACACATAGATGACATATGCTTTCCATTTAGTGGACCGGCGTGATTTAGTGGACCATATGGGACTGCTATAATTCCGTTGATATTGTAGCTGCAGCATTGTGATCGAACAATAAGAGGTATTCCAAGGTGAACGTATTTGCGGAGGTAAGCGCGAGGACTTCACGGCGATTTTCAGCCGGGTCACCGCCGACGAAAGCTCGCCGGGAGAACTTTGATTCTATAATCGGCTGCATCCCGACCGATTCGGAAAATCGGTGACAGCTTGTCAGAAGTGATCGATCGTCCAGACTTGTAGTCCATCGTGTAGGCGCGACCGCGAATACTCATCCGTCGATTGACGAAAGTTTAAGTTCCGACGTCACCGCCACCGCCGCCGCCGCCCCCAGGACTCGGAATGAATCTGCGCCGCGGTCGCGCTACAGAACTTTTCCCATTCGTCTTCGGAGGGGGCGAGAAATCTCAGCGAAATCACCGGTTCGTAGTTCCCAGAAGTTCCGACGGAAAATAGAAAGGAGAGATTGTCCCCTCCTCCCCCGGCAGATTTTTACGCTTCTCCGTTAAACGCGAGTTTGTCGTCGGGTTAATAAACCGCCCCGAGACGCGGGCGGAAAAATATGGAAATGCCGAATTCGGTCGTTCACGTGACCGTCGCATTTACAAAACAAATCTTTTAGCTTGGCCTTCTCCGTCACCCTGTTCTGCACCGAAGCCTGCCTGGTGATCCTGGTGCTGCTGGTGAGGCGGACGAAGTCGATCGGCGGCGAGTTGGGCGGGCCTTTTATACCGAAGGTCATCACATCCGTGTTCCTGTTCTCCCTCTGGCTCTTCTACCTCATCATGTCCACCCTCGAGGCCTACGGCGTGATCCAGGGCTTCTAAATCAGGGCCCGTGCGACGCCACTACGTCGGCCTATACGTGTATCTTAGCTCTGGCGTCCGCCAAGGCGTGTGCTCAACGAAACTTCTACCTGGTGAGTTCTCCGCGCTTCCCTTTGTTCCGCTTCCCCCGAGCGATGTAGTAGACTTCACTTCGGAAACCGCGGGAAACGAGTCAGGTCAGGTCGACCCACGAGTCATCATGACGATCTTCCTCGAGTCGCGCATAAAGCGAAGCGTTGTTTGAAAGGTCAAACGCTCTATCGGAATTTCTTTTATTCTTTCATATTTATTACACATATGCATCGACGAGATGTTCGTTTTTCTCTGTTGAATTTTCGAAAATCCACTTCAATATCGGCACTTGCATTGATTTCCCCTCAATGCAATCGGCAGTGTAAGAATGATCTGGCGGGTCGCAAAAAATAACACGACCATGTCTCGACCAGGCCTGATTAAACGTTAAAGAGCTTGGGGATACACTTTCGAGAATAACACCCGCCCGTGGTATCGACGTATCCCTCGACGAAAATACTCGTAACGATCTCCGATAAATACCTTCGGCCACGTAACGATTGTCCCTCGCGTTATCTCCCGACAGCCTCGTTACTGCGCTTTCGAGTTAATTACGCGAGTAATATGACCGAATATCCGGGAGCTTATTGCGGGAGATATCCCAAGCCAAGATTAAATATAGCGAACGATCGCCGCCGTGCGGACAGCTTTTTGTGTTCAATTTCGCACGACATCACCCTCGACCTACATTCAAGCTAACTCACGAACGTTACGCAAGTCACGAAGATGTTTATGCTTACTTACATTGCTATTTTACACGGCGGCAGCACTACTCGCGGTGATTTTCACTCGGAGCGGAATATATACGAAACGCTTTGTGCTATCGAAAATATCCCCGTCAAATTTCGAACGCCATTTCACCTAGCCGCCCGGCGCCCCGGCATTGGGCAATCCTCTCGGGAGAAACAATCTCGATATTTTATTAAACAACCTCGTTGCGCCCGTACAGTCCGTTGTATCGTTCCCGTCTGACGTTCTACTCTTCCTTACGTCACTTTGATCTAACAACTCAATTCATTATTTCCTTTCCCACCTATTAAGCTAATCTCGTTACGACCTCTTCGGCCGACTTCCTAACTTATTCAAGCTCTACTTAGGAACTTGATCTAATCTAACTTCACTCATCGCATTCTCCATCTCCTCCTCTTTTCCTTATTTACACCACGAATCGTGTAACTTGGCTTTTTAACTTCTTCCTTTCGTCGAAAACGTTGAATCTCTCGCATTAAACAGCCGCCGATTTTGATTTCAGGACACAAAGAAGCGAAATCGGGAAAATGGCGCGATTTCGCGAAAGAACGAACTCTGACTGTGCCGGGAACTCACATAAGTTCACCCCCGACCTGAGACAATTAACAACGAACGTGATCGCGTGACGTATTCGATGCGTGGATATATGTGTATGCGTGTGTGTGTGTGTGTGTATGCGTGTATAGGTACCTGAGAGCGCGCGAGTGTGCTTGCGAGTGCGTCCCCAACGAAGAGAAGAAAGAAAATCAATCGGGAAAAAGAGTATAACGAAAAAGGAAAGAAAGAAGAAGGGTGGAGAGAGAGGCGTGCGTGAGGAAACAGTGAGTTTGCCTTAAAATAATTTAATTCAAAAGAAGGAAAGAAAGAAAGATGAAGAAAAAAAAGGAAAATATGTTACAAACGCGTTCTAGTCGAGTCACACTCTCCCGCGATAAGAGATCGGATGGCTGTTATCGAAGACAAGAGGAAAAGAGAGGAGAAGCAAATGAAGATAAAAGAATATATATAGTATACGCGTATACTGCTACCTATTCGCGGCGCGTGTACATAGTGTATTTATTTAATCCTTTAAGGAGTACACACAGGTTTCTATGGTATTTTAGTAGCGGACTGCATTGCAATTCCTTTTTCGCCAGAGATCGACGTCGCTAATTTTATATGGACGTATATATTGTTGTACGACATATACATATATATATATACATATATATATATATATATATATATATTCCTTTGTCGAAAGGGGAGCAGGTGAGATGGGGGTGTGTGTCTCCGACGTCAGATCGGTTTTCGCGAGGACCTCGCGGGCGGGAAGGGAGAAAAGAGTGCGAACGCACCTGAGCCAGCGGCGATTGCCGGCGTGGTCGCGCGATACGGAATCGACTTGGAGGGGCCGGGGGTTTTCGGTCCTCGCATTTTGCAGGATCAATTTTGATTTGGTGCCGCGCGCGGGAGCGGTCATATCGTTTTTGTTTCGCCGATGTGTGTGTGAGACAGTCCGAGACGGCGAGCGGGAAAATCGTGACGTCGGCCGGCTCGATATCGCGCGGCCACTCTCTCGGTTTCTAGTGGAATTTCGAAACATAGTGCATTTTTTATCGTTGCAATAACGCGTGAGGGGAGCAGACACGCGTTATGGATCACAGTCGTCGTTAACGCGCGATTTGGACAGGGCTGCCGGGTTCCTTACGATCTCGGAAAGAGAGATCCTCTGGAAACAGGCGCGACGTCATATATATTGCCTATGAGCGCGAATAAGTGGTTACATCAATAACTGAGTAAATTTGCTAGAGATACAAATTGACGAGTTGAAGCGAGTTCACCGATTGATCACAAATTAATCGCGCGATTCATCTCACGTGCATTTATCGTCTAGTGCACTTTATATGCATTTTAACCAACTTATAAGAGAGCAAAGTAGTGGGCAGAGTAAACAACAAGAAAAAAAAAAGAAAAAAAAAACGAACAAGAAGAAGAAAGAGAAGAAGGAAACAATATCGTGTATAAGAAGTGGTGGAATTGAATTTCTATCGAAAACCGTTTTGGAGAGTCTTTTCTTCACCGGCGTGAACGCGCTACGTAGCGAGAGCTAACGAATAATTTAGACTTCAAGCCGGGGACTACAAAAACACAGACGGATTAGCGGTAGGATCTAGAACTTCAGGCAACTCTGTCGACAATCTGCGGATTTCTCTCGGCCGCTTGCGAAAAAAAAAGCATCTCTTATATTTTTTCTCATTGTCGATTTTCCATCTACCCGTCGCGGGACGTCGCGAAGCAGACAGTCCTCGTCAATATCTCGGCATTACCGAATTGTCTGATCGCGAGCCTCGCGTCTACACGCCGGAATCTTGAGAATAACTCATAGGTAAACGAGCGATTCACCGAGAATTCAGTGTAAACGAACAACAATTACTTCGATTCACGGGCCGCTCGTCTCGTCGTGAGTTGTTGATCGAACGCTTCATCAGTTCCTCTCCTGTCGCGAATCACTGACTCCGGAAAATTACGGACGGGCTACGCATAATTATAGAGGCGCCGCTCAGTGAGCCGCGAAATAGCAATTAGAGGGACGGTGTCGTGTATTATTTTTCGTCGCCGGCCGACAACACGAGCGCGACGCAGTACGTACGATCGTAAAGTTCTCCAAATTCGCGAAACGAATTTTGCCGGCAAAAGTTTTACGGTTTTCACGAACTCGGACGGCACATCCCGACATCCACGAGAGATATCGCGCGGTAAAGAGTGTAAAATGTGCTTTAACGAAAATCCGAGAGACGTTTGCAGTACATTCTAAATTTTGCACAGAGATCCTCGGGAGGTATTCCGGATGTCGTTCGGGCTGTTGTTTGTTCTGATCCTTTCTCGTGAATGTCGAGTGCGCGCGTGCGAAAGAGAGATTCGGAGATTGTCGTCGATCGGGACAACAATACAAATCGTTAGCGGACTGGTAGCCATCTTGCCAGCGTGAGGACATGTTATATTGAATACCAGCAGAAACATATTTACCGTTGTTAAGCAGTTAGTTAGGTAGCGCGACGAACGTTAAAAATTTAGATGCGCCCCCGTTGCGAGTCGCGGCCTTCGTTCGAATGTAAATCGCACCCGCCTTCGGAATTTGCACGACACGAGAACTGTCGTGTTTCTCCTTTCCAATCGGTACACATTGTTGTGACGTCGGAATATTTGAACTTTCACCCGAGAGTGGTCCGGCGGCTCTCTTGATCTCACGTCGTGAAATCCGCTCCTCCTCGATGAACTTTCAAGTTTCTTGGCACGATAATAACCGTTATGTATATATATATATATATACATATATATGTATGTATGTGTATAAAGTCGGAAAAATACGACTTCTTGCGGTACGTCACTTTCGAGGAGGGAGTGTTCTCCTCTTGGTCTTCACTGCCTTTGATCGAGGGCACGGCAGTTTGCGCGGGGCAAGTTGTGCGAATCGGGCGGACTATGTTATCCTGAGAGACCCGTTTTAGATGGAAAAATGATTTTCGACGCGATATCGCTTTGAAGTAAAGAAAAGAAAAAAACCAAAAAAAAAAGATACGACGGAAAAGACGAAGGAAGGAAATCGCGAGATCCGCATTCTAAATTCTCGGAGTCCAAGTCGGTGACTTTTCGGCGTTTCGCGTTAGACTAACCTTCGTCTCGCCCGGAGTCTCGATACAATTTAGAGAGATTTCGGCACCGTCGTCCATGACGGTCGCGCACTTTTTAACAACATGTTCCGAACGATGTGAAAACGGGGCGAGAAGGAGCACTTCGTACTAAAATACAAACACAGACATCCACACACATACGAACAAACATTCACACATGACTCGGACTCGTTATTATCGCTAACGTTTTGTAACACTACTAGCCGGCTTTTTATATAAGAAAAACATTAGAGAAAGAAGACATTGTTTTCGCCTCCCTTTAATGTTAGAATTCGCGGATTTGTCCAGCGCGTGATTTTAGGACAATGTTACAAGGTGCTCTTAACTAACGAAGGATGTCGTCGCTTTGCGTCTTGAAAAATGTCATTGCGTCTAAAAACGAACCTTACAGGCTGCCGGCGGAGGCGCGCCCACACGTGCGCGGTGCTCGCGCGCGTTTCGCCCGTGCGCGAGCATCAACCTAATTTAGGAACGACAAGTATGACAAAGTAATTAACGGCTGCTGCTCAGTATTACGAACGGTGCCGTCGTCGTCGACGGGCCGATCGCACTGATGATGATTATTAACCGGCCAATTCTGGCGTCTCGCGACCCGAGTCCGCATTCTCTGTAAGTAATAAGCGTAAATCTAGGGAAGGAACGGCGATTCATCCGACTGGGATTACTTATTAATGATTGTCGCCGCCGCTCGGCTCGGTTTTTGTCGCTTGCGCGACAGGAGGGATCCTCTCTTTCTCCCTTACTTTCTTTTTTCCCCTCTTTCTCTTTTCTGCAGTCGTGTCGGATCGCGACGGTAGCTTGTACGTCGATTTTCTTACGATTTTAGATGTCGTGATGCCGCGATGCAACTGCAGTAACAAATCAGGAACTCTCGCGAGATATGACGTCCGACCGGACCGTCATCGATCCGAAGGAGGGAAACCGGCGTTATTCTTCGGGAAGAAGGATGTTGATTCTCGGCGGAAGAACCGGTTTATATTCATGTACTTTGTTTTTCGCGTCACGAAATCTTCTTCTTTGACCCGCAAGAATTGCTTCCATTCGATCCGATATGTTAATACGGCTGCCTGACGTATATGTATCTCTCTCTCTCTCTCTCTCTCTCTCTCTCTCTCTCTCTCTCAATTATGTTAATATTAATTAATTAATTAAATTAGACTCTTGTGGTATTAAGCTCAAAATCTCTCAAGAAGAACACACTTGCAAAATACTCATCGGAATAATATGTTTCAGTTAATTTATATTACTTTAATTATATTTTCGCTCAATATTTCGTTGCGATAATACGTTAAATTAATAATTTATTTTCTAGTACAATACAAATACTGATTTATACGTACTTATTGTGGAGAATAAAAAAGGATTTCTTGTAATAAGCGTAACAAGTTTTATCAATGCACGGGCATACCGAGTTTTACTAACCGAATCAATGGAAACGTACATTGAGCGCTTATCGTTTAAACAACGAATTGCGTAATTCAAGCATCGCATTCTCAAAAATACTCAAAGCAGGACATTATTTGTGTCATTTATGTGGTTTTATATTTTGCCGATTCACATTTGTTTAAATATCTAGTGCCTCTTCTGCTTACTCTTATTACAAGAATGATGCAGGACAAAAATTCGAAAGTCGATCTGGCCGAAGTAAATAATTGACCTACGATGTCGTAATTAATCGTTTTGGGAAATATACTCGTTGATCTTAACCCTCGACTATTGTGGCGACGTCAGATATAAAGCCCGATTCACGGATCATTAGTTTGTTACGTCATAATTTATGTGTGACCATTGCCTCTCACTCGTCATGTAGGTAAGTACCTTACAACGAAAAGTAACGAGTTACTTTCCGACCCATTAACATAAAAGACACTTAGCGGTTCGTTTCTTTTTCTCTTTTTTTGTAGCAACAGGGTTCAGATCTGACGCCGTGGCGATAGCGACGATAAACAATTCGACCGTAATCTAGTCGCTCTCGATTGTGCTTTTCGAAGGATTCCGCCCGCTGAGTCGACATCGTGTTTGAGGATTTTATTTTAATAAACCTTTTGGAATTATCAATCAGTTCTCTTTCACTTTTGTGTTCCCGTTGCGATCTCTCCTCGAGCATCCTTGAGTTGTTCCCCACCGTGCCACGCTGCGTGCTTGAATTCATATCGATCGATCGCGCGGTACACATTTATTTGCCCCGTTATTTCACCGACCACGTCTGCTGCTGATTGAATCTGTTCGATTGATTGCCAAGTATTAGCTGCACTTTCCGCATCTTTCTGCAGTTTGATTTCTGCCCTTTCGCTCCTCACGCACAACAGCCGAAACGAAAGAGAAGGGTAGAACATACGTACCACTTTGTATCATTTTTAACGTAGGGAACGCAATGAAAGTGTAGCTAAGAGCAAAAGTCCTCGAGAGAGAAGAAAAAAGACAGAGGGGGATGGGATGAAGAAAGAGATCGGTTTAACAGGAAAAACGAACATGACGGATCCGGAACGGCGAAGACAACGCGGTCTCCGCTGTCAGCCCATAGATAAGTCGAGATCGCCAGGCTGTTTCCCGATGAGGATCAACTTACTCTTCGCTGAAAGCGGACCCCCGTCGCTCTTCGCCCTCGGATCCACTCAGCTCGGGACGAGCCTTCGAAAGAAAACGAAACAAAGAAGAAAAAAAAAGAAAGAAAAAATATAGTAGGAGAACAATTCCGGCCGCAGCCACGGAGATGCGTAAGAGGACGAACAAGCTTGTAAGGAAAACAAAAAAGAAAAAAAAAGAGAAAAAAAAGCCGACGAAAACAAAATGAAGGATAAACAGGCGCATAGGTATTTTATTAATCCGACGGTTCGCGATAGTTGTATTGTGTAAGTATGTATGCGTAAAACAGTAGGGCGTACACCGAGACACTCAATAGCAAAGCGTTCAAGTGATAAAACCGTAAACGGGGATCCCGATCGTCCTCGAGTCTTCGTCGTCCGACCGCTCGACCGACCGGGAGCTGTTCGCGCGAGGAAGCGTCGTCGGCGGAAGGTGATCGCGTTGAAGTCCCGCGAGCGGGCTCGATCGAGGTGTGTGCTACCCGGGTGTGTGACGCGATTCCCGAATGCGCGTAAGTAGCCATTATCGAAAATCCCGCGGGATTTTTGCCGACGCTTTGGATCCCGTCGAACGCTGCGGACTCGTTCCGGCCGAGCGACGGTTCGTCGGGGAGCGGCTTCAAATTGGTCCATTTACGACCCGCCGTTCGTTCGTCCCGTTAATTCCACGCGTCCGACGTGCACGTGATTTCACGTCGAAGGAGAAGCGAAAACTACGGCCGACTGGTTTTTTTTTTTATTTCGCCGGCCCTCTTAGCGCCGCTCGAAACCGGTTATTCACCTGGCGCGCAACACACCCCGAAATGCCACAGCGGCACGTAACACTCTCGCTCGCTCGCGCGACACACTCGACGAGCCCCCGCCGAACGAGGGAGAGCGAATACAAAAAGAATATATATGTATAAAAATAAATATAAAAAGCAAACACACAAGAGAGTGGGGAAAACAGCCGAGCGAGAGGGAATAATTAATCAAACGTAATCAAAAGTGCTACACGTACCTCAGCGCTCGTTCGCGTCGCAGCGTCGTCGACGAGGATTTACAATGACGCGCGATCTCTCTATTTCTATCTATCTATCTATCTCTCTCTTCTCTGCCCTCTCTTTTATATCCCCCATCTTTATATCTATCTAAACACCTGATCTCTCTCTTTTTTCTCTTTCTCTCTCTCTCTCTCTCTCTTTATCCGTCTCTCTATCTATTCAACTCTCTTCCTCTCACTTTTTCCCCGTCTACCTGTTTCCTACGTACTCGAGTGAGATAATTTCAGCGAGTTTTCCGAAGGGTTATTTTAGAAACTAAAAGAGAAAAAAGTTCACGTTCGATACGGATGTAGAGCCGCGAGTTAAGAATTTCGTTGGATATAATATCGTTAACAGTTCGATAAAATCGTTAACCCGAATATCAATGCAATCGGGATTCGTCAAACGTGTGTAACCACTCTAGATTTTTCCTTCCCCCCCCCCCCCCCNTTTTTCCCCCCCCCCCCCCCCCCCGCCGTCGTAAATTTTCGATTCGAGCACCGATAACAGGCGGCCGGCTGTTTATTGCGCTTCGTCGCGATGGCACGCACGGGCTGGGTCAGCGAGCCGAATTTCGCGCGTCAAAACGTGACGTGCTTAAAGCCGCTGTTCCGTGAAAAGAATCCGCGAACGTCACGCATTCGATATTCCGCAGGAATACCCGCGGGAAAGCCGCGCGACGAGCGCGCAATCCCGCCCGCCGACCGCGTCCGAATAACGATGTTGTCGGATCACCATGTACGAGATTGGATATAGAACCCCTTTGTCGCATCACACACACACACACACACATAGGGAGAACTTACCGGGACTCAACTAACTCTATCGCGTGTAATTAGTTGTTTTTTATGACACGTAAGTTCGCAGTACCCTCGTTACACACGTCCTAGAGAGCCCCCCTTATTTCGCTCGGTCGATACAACGTGGCGCCGTAATCGCGAGAGAAAGAAAAAAAAATACGCGACGTGCGAGGCATTTCAGATCGGAAGCGCGGAAAAATCGAACACACCAGCCATAGTGAAAGAGAAGGAGAAAGGATAAAAAAAGAAGAAGAATAAAAGATGTATTTCCTGTGCCGGAGATATCGCGTGTTTGCCGCATCGAAAATTCGAATCTACGAAATCCGTGTCGATTTCAGCACGCCTCATTCACTGAGCAGAATTGCTGTCGTGGCCAGCCCCTCTCGATACCAGCGAGTATCAATTTCGGACGTGAAGGACGCGTTAAGTTTCCGAATAAATTTAAGACAAGCACGAAACAACGAAATGTAATGTTGATCAATCGCCGATTGAGGCCGATCGTTAACCTCGGCAACCGTATTTTATCGCCTTTATCGCGAGGCCGCCGTTTGCTTAGTGGATTTATTGGCGTTAGTTTTTTTACCCTGTTAGTTTTGATAGTTTTGATACGTCGGAAGATAGCTCACTTAGTTAGGCTCACACGCCGTTTACTTGTGAAGAGTACGTTATACACAGTGAAAACTGATTATATTTATACATTGAATTTTATACGACGTGAATTTATTTGAAGAACAACACAAACGGGGATGGAATAATTATACAAAATGTTGAATCTTCTCTGCAAAGTATAAGTAGCGTGTATATATAATAATTATGTAATACGTGAAGTACTGTTAAACGGGCCAATTTTGTGAGAAGTAATAGTTGCGGATAATTGTAAGACGTTTATATTGAACCTTATCTCCGATCGGAATTAGTCACCTTCGGACATCGCACGGCGCGATTAAATCGAAACGGGCTCGGTATTATTTCCCGAGATAAATCTCGGCGCGTTAACGGACGATCTAATTGAGAAATTATTTGCTTATCGAGCGATATCGATGTGCTAATACGGCAGATTTTCCGATTGATGTTCCGTCATCGATGATCAGCGCGTTCGCGAAATCAAAATTCAGCAATACGCACAGCGAGGACCAGTGTAAAGAAATTTAACGAAGAAGAAAACAAACACGAAATAAACAAAAGGCTGAAAGTAGGAGCGCGAGATCCACGAGTACCGACATAGTTTTTAGTTGAGGTGTCTCGCGCGATCAACCGAAATTAATAGTGAGAATGTCGTCGATTTCTTCATTACACGATATTATGCACGCTATTCTTCTCCGTGTGTAAGGTATATATAAGTTTTGACTTTCGTCCGCGATTAGCTACAACACGTACACACGCGACGAATGACCAACGCTCTCTCTCCGCGCGCGTGATCGAAGAGATGGGGTGCGGTATCGACCCCCGACGACTAAGGAAGAAGCGTCTGCAGCTTCGTCTTCTCCTGCTTTCCGGGGCTGGTCGCGCCGTCCTATCGATACACCGCATCGACCTTTCGGCCATTTCTCTCCGCATTTTAACCGGAAAACGCCGTTCGTAGACCCGTTTCGATCTTTTTTCCTCTCTTCCCCTTTCTCTCTCCGATTTTCTCTCTTTTTTCTAAGGATATATATACATAGACACACTCTACATAATACCTGTAACACACATGTATGTATACCTACGACTATACTATGTACTGTACTGTCGTGTGAAGGATACCTCTCACACTCTGTGCTATCGTTCAATCTATCGTCCTATCTTTACTGTCTTTACATGTCTCTAATGACGTAGTAGAGGATATTGTTAGCGAACAAAGATATTTATGACTGCTCTCTCGGAAGAGAAGGAGAAAGTTGCGAGAATAATAAAATGAGATACGAGGGGTTTAGAGTAATAGTGGACCAACTTCGTCATTAGCGTGAGGTTTACTTTAAATGTAACGTCGTCTTCACCCATCCGGCGTTTTACTGGTATTTCCTTGTACCGGCGGTGGTGTCGGCATTATTAGCGGCGAATCGGCGAATTTTCTAACACTGCCGATACCAGTGGCAGCAGAAGAAGTACATAGACGGTAAAATTACCTTTAAAATCATGGACTTGGTCCAATCCTGCTCTGAACTTTTCGTACTACGACTACGAGGCTCGCCCGGTCGGGCGATCATTCATCTACGAAAGAGTAAGAGTAAATTACGTACGAGATAGTCGGTGTGTTCCTTAGAAAACAGTTCCGCGGTTAAGGTTACGGTCTCGCAGACTTCTCGACTGTAGAACCGCCTTCGAAGTTACGTGTAAGATAGTAGATCGTTGCATGACGGGAGGCAGAAGAGGCTGTTGTCCTACATTGTGAGTACCGTCAATATTTACGTGCGGGGAAATGCAGGATGTGTTTAAACGTCACATCCAAGAGGAACGGAAGTCAGAATGTGGTCGAGATCCTTTCGTTGAAATAGAGAGAAAATGGAAATGCCTTTTGAGCAAGACAACTTCGCCAATTGGCAGCTTAAGACTCATTAAGAATATGTTGCTCTTGAAAACGTTGCATTTTTACGTTACGGTAAAAGTTAATGAAATTCGGACTACCAGTGTCATCTTTTCGAAAAAAAATACGAATAATCACATTGAATTTTACA